GTTGGATGGGGCTTGGAGCAACCTGGTCTGGTGTAAGGTGTCCCTGCCCATGGTAGGAGGGTTGGAACGAGATGGTCTTTAAGGTCCCTTCTAACCCAAACCGTTCTATGATTTAAGGGTGAAGTTAAACAGAATTAAGTGGTTGCTCTTGAAATAAAAAAAAAAATTGCATGTGATGCAGTATTTCAGCAGTGGGGAAGATCTGTGCTGCGTGCTATAGTATATCATAATTTTCACAAGAAATCAGCAGTACTGCTATTTGTGATGCTAAGGTTGGGCCTGAGAAACTAATTATGGTAACAAAGGACAAATTACTTGCATAGCTGCCAAATGTGCTAAAAATAATTACTGTAATATAAATAATGTTTAAGGGAGAATATATCTGCTGAAATCACAACTGAACCTGAAAGGTGTGCATGTCTGAGTAGCTGAGGCATGATTTGCTTTCTTGCATTATGAAACCTGCTTATAAGGGAAGGGTGCATCTACATTAGTGTTTTGGTTTGGATTATGTCAGCTTTTTCCAATTGAATCCAGTGATGTTCTTTTATTCCCTGTGGTTGGCTCGCACCACCAAATGGCTTTAGAGTACTTGCACTTTATTTCTTCTGAATAAAACTGCATGGGAAGATGCACTCCAGATAGCAGCAGGTGGTCAGTCTGCAGGACCAGACTAGAAACTAGTCCAATGTAGAAACCTCTAAAGCAGGTCTTCAGCACCAACGCAGTTCTGCATGCCCTCTCCTATTGCATTGCACTGCTTGCTGATGTAAATATAACTAAGATTCCCATGGAATCTTTTTTAAAATCAAGTTTTCAATTTTTTTTAGAATTGAGGACACTTTAAATTCTATAACTTGCATTGCAATTAAAAAAAACCCACATATTGGTACCTTATAGGTTTCTACCCCCATTGTTTTTACAAGCTAGTCTTTTAACAGTTGCTTAGGAAGATTGCTGTACATGCTTGGCTACAAGATCCAGCTGTATATAAGAAATCAAGACAAAATACGTTCTAAGCCTCTCTAATACTGTAAATCTTGAGGTAACATCAAGACCAGACTTGCAAGAGTTTGCAGTGTTCAGAGGCACTCAGTGAGGTGATCAGGCTTATGTATGTGCCTAGCATCAACAAGATGCAGTCAGCAACTATAGAGGAAAAAAGGAGCTTTCCCTTTCCTACCCTAAGTGTGGATGTTCAGTGCTTTTGTTGGAAGGTGGTAATAATCAGTTAAATGGGTACAAGCAGCTGGACAGCAACTAAACATATCTGCCAGTTTCTAAGTCTGTTAGTTCACATTGCAGAAACTGAGTATGGATTTTTCCAATTTCAATTTCTGCTTCATTTAAACTCTAAAAAAAAAATCTGCTTGTGTTTCTTAATGAACAAAAAAGCTTCAAACAATAACCTGTAATTTAATACATGGAAATAATAAGCAGATATTCCACAGTATGTCAGTGCTTAATTCTTCTGTCGATTGTGTTGTGACTTATTCTGAAACCAACTGAAGACAACAGAAGCAAGGAAGTTGACACTGCAAGCTACGACATGACACTAAGTTCCTCTTTTATTTTCAGAATCAAAATAATACAGATAGAAGAGGAACGAAGTGAGAAGTTAACTAACAACATGAAGTTACTCATCTTCCTCACGGTAACCCTGGGCACACTTGTCACGGGACTAGATTCTGTAAGTTTTGAAATAAATGGTGGGGGGGTTCACTTGGAACCACTTCTGGTTTTGATTATACTTCTGCTTTGGACAGTGTAGCAGGCTTTTGACTTGAATTCTCCTTTTTGCTGTCTTTGCATGTATGTATGCATCTGCTGCACATATACCTTCAAGAAACATGTTTTTGAACCCTTTGGTTTTTCTTCTGATTCTGCTCCACCTGAAGATGTCTGCTAGCATTCAAATAGTGAAGAAATCATGCAATAACCAAGAAATCTACCTTGTCTGTTTTTCTCTTAATGCAATTTAGACCTGGACACTGAGTACCAAGACCTCCCTGGTCTTTCATGGAGGTGGATATTGGGCCTTAACTAAATTTCCTTAAGTGTGATGCTAAAAAAGGAGCAACAGATAGGAATTTGAATATCTTTTTTTTACTATCAACTTGTATGCTGATATCTATCAGCAGAGCCTTTCACCAACTTTATGGAATTATATTGTTACTGTTACTTGTTTTTGCTCAGGCAAGCCTACTTGACCTCTGTGAAAAGTATACTAAAAGCCTAATCTGATTTAATTCCATGGAGAAATAAATATCCAGCCTGCGAAGCAGAGGCAGGACCTGAAGTACAGGGCAAGAACCTATTGTTGTATAAATCTATTGCCCTTTATTCCATGGCACAAACATGAAGCATCAAGGTCACCAAAATGACAGAGGCAGCTGGAGAATATTGCATCTTTGCTGCACTGCTTGGTGGCTGAGAAGTGGAAAGAGAAGTTCCTTTCCCTGTTTTAGGAGCACTGACCATTGAGAGCTGCTTAGCCCTTTATAGCAGAAATAACTGCAATGTTGACCTGATGCAGTGGACCAGCTTGGTAGGGGTTTTTGTGTGGTGTATTTTTTTCTTCTCCATTCTGCTTTGCTCAAGTAGGGTTCCACTCTTCATTCACATACAAATTCCATGGAGCAGGTTCAGTTGGTAACTACATGCAAAAAAACTAAACTGTTGAAGATATGCTCTAGGACCTTGGACCCATGAAAGATAATCAAACCATGTAAAAGAAACTTTCCTTAAAATCCTTTTTTTCTTTTCCCTTAGGTTTATATCAAGAAGTACTACAAGCTGCCATATAAACACAGATCAGATCACAAGGGTAACTATCTGCCTATTCTACTTGAACCTAAAAGGAATTTGTTATCCTGCAATTATATCTTCATACAAGAAGGAAGACTCTTAATGATACTTAAACACCTAAAACTTAGTTTGCAACTACATTACACTTTACTTCATCATTCAAATGTTTTGCCTCTAATTAGTGATGTCTTTGCTTGCAGAGTGCCATTGTTTGAATGGAGGAACCTGCGTTACCTATTACCTCTTTAGTGGAATTAATCGTTGCATATGCCCAAAAGGATACACTGGGATTCACTGTGAACTAGGTAGAGTATCTATCTTCCTTAACACTAACTGATTGAAAATATCTAAAAAGATAGGCAAATTAGGAGTATGAAATGGCAAGTGAAAGTATGACTCAAATACATTACTGGATATCCTTTAGCACTTTATGCTAACAGACTAAGTGAGGAGAAACAACTAAATAGTGGTGCAAAATCAGGGTCTCTTAATTTCTTTTCTTGTCCCTACCTCCTCACTAATGTTGCCTACCTCATGAATGTTTTAGTTTGGGTTGAGATAAGTGTTTGTTTGAGAGTGTTCAGAAGCAGAACAGATTTATATTGTGAAATACACTGAAGCTATTAAAGAAGCAATATGCATGCTTTAAAACATAAGATACTTGATGCTCAAAGTTTGTATAGAACAAATTTAATACGAATATATAATCAGTCCAGATTTTGCATCATCTATTTTCAAGTATAATGGATGAACTTTTTTCTTATTAGAAGGATCCCTACAGATTATTTCTGTCTCAGAACAATTCTAAAGAAGAACATGCTGCTAACAAAATATTTATTTTCTCAGACACTGACAGCACGTGCTATACTGAGAATGGGGAGGACTACAGAGGAATGGCAACAGAAGACAAATGTCTGCCATGGGACCTTCCCTCAGTAATCAGGAGGGGTCGTTACCATGCTCACTTGAAGAATGCTCTGCAGCTCGGACTAGGCAAACACAGCTACTGCAGGTAAGAAAAACATCACTCTGACTGGGATAACTTCTACTCTCACAGCTCCAAAAGTGCCTCAAGAGATTGATATATGTGTTTAAAAAAAAATACTAGAGAGATGAATTTTGACTAAAAATATCTGGAATATGACTCTTTGAAATGTGTAGAGTTCTCGCTTACCACTGAAGGCAACTGTACTGTGAAATTCCCAGTATGCTACAGTAATAGTCAGTTGTTTTCTCTGGCATATCTTGCAACACAACACTTTAGGCCTTTTCAGAACAGTTAGAATTCTAATGTACTATCATTTTTTTTAAAACTTCTTATGAGAAGAACACTTCCTTTATCTTCTAGAAACCCGAATGGAAGGAACAGGCCCTGGTGTTACACCAAAAAGGGATTCACCATTCAAGAAACACCCTGCAACATGGAGAAGTGTGGTAAGTAACATTAATTTCAGGACAACTGATTAACTGATTGTTTTTTGTTTTGGTTTTTTTTTTAAAAATACCACAGTGTTGGTGCTTAGGTCTAAGAACATCTAAACAGAATTTCTTCTTTCATAGGGCATACATGTGGTCAAAGGAGTGTCAGCAAGTACTTCAAGATTGTTGGTGGAAGACAGGCTGAGGTTGAGTCTCAGCCTTGGGTAGCTGGCATCTTCCAGAACATAAGGGGCATAGACCATTTTCTGTGTGGTGGCAGCCTCATTGACCCTTGCTGGGTACTTACAGCAGCACACTGTTTTCATAATCCGTAAGTTTACTGTTCTGTGTCCTTCTTATTTGCAACTTTGGTCAACTGATTTATTTGTGTAATGCTCATCAACTAACCTTCAAAATGTACCATAGTAAGAATGTTCTTTTGAGCAAAACAAGAGCAGCATAATCCTAAACCATAAACATATAGCATAAACCATAAACATTAAGCCTCTGAGAATCCAAGTCTAGCAGAATAAACTAGCAAGATGCAAATATTTTGGTGGCTTATACAATTAAAACAGTTTTAGCCTAAATTGGAGCAAGGGTTTTGTCTTAAGTTTGGGAACAGCTAAGGTAAAAGTTGTACTGAAAGGTGATGAGCTGTTCAGCAATACATTTGTGGGTGTGTTTTTCTTCCTGCGGAAAGCTGATCCTCCTGGTATCTTGCAGAGGGTTCTCATCACCAATGCCTGGCATTAGTAGCAGCTAGCTAGGTTTGAATTGCAAAATGCCTGAACGTTTTGCCTTAATCCCTTCAAATGGAAAATAAGGATGCTTTCCTTTAGAATACTGCATCAACTTTCAAAGTTGACTAGATTTTACTTTTTCTTGTCAGCATTAAAGTAAACACAGAACTGGGACTACATCTAAACTGTTGACCTCACTCTCAGAAATCAGTAGTCTTCATGAATCTCTTTATACTCACTCAGGTCAAAAAAACCACAAGACAAATCCATCTACAAAGTCTTCCTTGGAAAGTCCATACTGAATGTTACTGATGACAAGGAACAAGTATTCATGGTCGATGACATCATCTCTCACCCTGACTTTACAGATGACACAGGTGGCAATGAGAATGATATTGGTAAGTATCATCTTAATATGAGCCGCTAAAACACTTGAGGATAGCTGAAGGCTACGTAATTGTGGCATACATCTTCTAAAAGTAGAACCAGAGATGAGATGAAGTGGAACAGTAACTAGGTGCTTCTGAGAACTAGGCCTGTTCTGAGCAAGATTTTTCCACTTGTATAAATTTGGTTTGTGGCATGTCAGCTGCATTACCTGACACAGTCAACTAGAAGCCTGTCTTATCTCTGGACCTGTACAAGGCATGGCTTTTCCATAAGCACTGGTGGCAGCATCCCATTTCTACCATCTTATTCTATGTGTACAGAGATCACCCTGTATGTTTAGTAAACGATGAAAAAATGCCTGCATAGTACATTTCATCATAGAGTAGGGGAATGCCATATCAGGTACCACACTGGCTGCAGGTTATCCTGAATTAATCCAGACGTCCATAAATCTCTCTGGCTTTCACAAACCTACCAACAGTCAGAGATGGGGTTTTGCAACTTGCATAGAACAGACTTGCCACTCTTGCACTTGACACTTAGAACTCTACGACCCCTTCCAAATGCCTGCTGCCAAGGAAAAAAAAACTCAAAGAATAGCTTCGTAAGCCCTTCTTGTGAGAAGTACAGTATAAATTGCCCCCCCTTCAGCAGGGCAATGGGTGCCACTCTCTACAGCCAGTCAGGAAGTTGAGGTTTTAAAACATCTGAAGATACACTTGTAGAAGAATCTTCCCTGAGCTATCAGCCCCTATCCTTGCAGGAAGGAAGTTCAAGTTGGAGTGTTTGCCAGTGTTAGTAACAACAAAATTAAATTCCCAGCACTAAATAATGACCCAGTCTCATTCCAAAAGCAATGAGAAGAGCCATACGTAACCAGAACTAAATGTAATAGCAACTATTCCCATTAACTGTACCTGATACTCCTATTGTCGGAGAACTTGAGGGGAAAAACTTGCTTTACAAATCTAACTGGATCTTTTCTGACTTATTCCTTAGCTTTGATAAAGATAAGAACAACTTCTGGACAGTGTGCAGTAGAGTCCAAATATGTTAGAACAGTCTGCTTGCCAGAGAAGAACCTTTACTTACAAGACAATACCCGATGTGAAATATCTGGCTATGGAAAACAAGATTTTTGTAAGTGAATGACTTCTTTTTCCAAAGTTGTAGGTGCACAATGTGGGAACTGGCTGTTTGTGTATCATGATCTGCCAAGGATTAAAAATAAATCCTTTCTATTATTCTATATACTCCATGTGCTTCTCAAAGATGATCTTTGCTATCATCTTCTCTAGTTGTCCATGGCATTTCCTATCTGATGCTTCTCAACCATACAAAGTAAGCCAAGGTTTAAACCAGCAATTTTTTTCATTCCTGGTGTGGTGAGGAGTACAAAAAATTGAAGCTGTGTTGGAAGATTAATGAAAGATTGCATTTGTGCAGAACTTCCTTCAAAAAGTACCAAACTCTTTCTAAAAAACAAGCTTTATAGTTTGCATTTGAAGCACTTGTTTTTATCTGTAAAGCTTTTTCTTTAGCAGTAAAAGTAACAGTACTGCCTAGGCTGGAAATAGAGTATCAAATCAGAACTGGAATGCTTATGCTAACTTCTTTTAAGTGCTGAAAGTGTGTGTTATGGGGTTTTTTTGTTGGTTTTTTTTTGGATGGTGAAAGTAGTTAAATACTTTTTTTTTTGCAGATGATATCTACTATGCTCAAAGACTCATGTCAGCCACTGTAAACTTAGTATCACAGACAAAATGCAGGTATGAGTACTATGACAATATCAGAGTTACTGACAACATGGTCTGTGCTGGAGATCCCACATGGATGACTGATGCATGCAAGGTAAAACTGGTTTGTCTTATTTTGTAGATTTTAAATGCATGTACACTATATGGATTGGCTGGTGGCATCTCATAATTCTACTAATCAGAAGAATTTCTCTTTATGTAGCATGAATTTAGTACATCCAGTAGAGTTGACCCCTAGTGTGGCCAAACATATGGAAGGAAGGTTGGGACCTAGAGTTAGGTGTTACCCTCTCCAGATCCTCCTTTGGAGGTGCAGGAAGTGCAGTATCTTGGCCATTGCTATTCCTCAAGGCCTTATTTACAATCTATTCAAGCAATGGCTGGTAGATATGCATCAGAGGAATACAGTAGCTATTCCAATCTCAGCTTGCACTTTCTTAACATTAACTATAGCTCTGCAAAGAGATAAAAGTTGAATTACCAGGGGACACTGAGCCCCTTCAACAGATTCCTCAAAACTAGATTTACTTCCCTATACCCTTAATAGGCAGAGGTGCCATATGAGCCACTAAAAAGAGAAAGTGTTGTCCTTTGGTGTAAAAGTAGCTTATGGACAGGGAGACAGTTGATTCTGTGATGAAGATTGGGTGTGTTGGCTTTGATCATGTATCACTAAACTGATACCTGTGATTATAAACTTAAGATGGAGAGTTGTGCGCAAGGTAACTGTTTTCTCTGTGCCCTGCTAGGGGGCGACTAGAAAACTCCTTACCTTACAGACTGTTTAAGTCACAGCAGCTGCTTAGCCGCCTTTTACATGTATGCAATGTTCTCAAAAATCAAAACTTTAGCTCATGGTATTTACTAGCTTGTTTCACTCTATGAAAAACAATCATAGGCTCCCTGTTACAAAGGTTCTATCTGCAGAAAATGGCCTAATATGTTCTTTTCTGTTGTCAGGGAGATTCTGGTGGCCCCATGGTCTGTGAGCACAATGGCAGGATGACACTTTATGGGATTGTCAGCTGGGGAGATGGCTGTGCAAAGGAAAACAAGCCTGGTGTTTACACCAGAGTTACTCGATACCTTAACTGGATTGACTCCAATATGAATGCAGTAATTGCCAAGAGTCGCTTTCTTCCTGAACCGAAGTGACCTTTTTTCTACAGCTGGACTCAAGTGAACAAGATTAAGCCTATACTGATGCCAGGACACTAAAGTCTTGAATGTCATGAAAGGCTTTCCTTTCAAATGCTTGTGTGATCTGCCACTCACATCAGTGTTCCTGAGGCAGAGACTCTGAATCACCTGAAAACCACTCAGTGGGAAGCTAAAATATTTAACATTTAAATGAGTATTCCCATGCACAGTACTATGCATATCGAGTTATCTGTCCACTTCATTTATGAACCAGCATTTGGTCTGGAAGTATTGGTACAGTTTTAACTTATTTAACTCAAGTATTCATTTTATACATGACCTGAGTCTAAAAATCTTTCCTGGTTGCACTGAACAATACTAAGTCTCAGGTCCTAGAAACCTAACCTGGTAAGACCTGTACTGAGAGGGTGGTCAGGCTTTGCATCAGAAAGTGAAAGAAACTGCATCAGCATTATTATCACTAATGCGTGAAGAAGGACTAAAGTCTAATAGAGACTGAGGCAATGCTTGGTGTACAGGGGTTGTTTCTATAGAGCCAACATACAGTGAAATCTTAAGGATGGCACCTATAGCTGTGTCAGCATTACAAACTCTATAATGTATTCCACTTAAGAACTGTGCTACAAGAAGGCAAATTGGAAACTTGACTGGGCTTCCAGGTCACATCTGAAGGTGTTCACGTCCCCTGGAAAGTCTCATTATGCAACCTCTCCATATGTACCTATGTACCCAGGAGACAATTTAAGGACTCAACATGCATTGAATGCTGCAGATGTCAAAAGTTGGAACTCTGTTTCCATTAATTTAACATTATATGGAAATGACTTCATTTTTTTTCCCAAGACTTATACTGGTTTTATTTTTAAACTTGTCTTTGTTTTATAGATTTGAATTATTTGTATGAGGGCTGGAACCTCAAGCTTTATTTAATTATTTTTACTGTGTTTAACTTATTGTTTGTATTATGGATGTTAAAATATATTAAAAAACCCTGTTATTCTTATGTCTGTTCCTCTACTTTTCAAAGGGGAAGGGTATGATTTGAAAGAACTGTTATTATTAAATTCTAATCTGAACTGTAAAGTCCCTTGGTAAAACATAAATGTTTGAACTTCATGTTTAAAGCATTTCATGAGAGAAATAAATGTCTTCTCTGGGCTAGAGTGTTAGAAAATTAGACATAGAGCATAGGATGAACAACAGTGCTGAAGACCCAATATCCATGGTGCATGTGCTTCAGGACTCTAATCTAGCCCTGTGGACTAACAACTCCGAAGTGGTTGTAGAACATTAGGTGAACTTGTAGAGCAAAACATCTCCCTCAGGCTTCACCCAAAAGGAATACAGTTCTTGTGCTCCAGAGGTGCTCTGCAATAAGACCCAAAACACTTGATGGGGGAGCAAGAGATTAGTTTCAAAAGTTCACTCATTAACTTAACTAAAATGCTATTGCATGTGGAAGAATGCAATGAAGTAAAATCAGAGAAAGGTGCTTAAAAGGAAAATGATAGTTTCAGCTTTCCTTGGTACTTCTTTGTGGACTCTAATTTTTGAAGAAAAGCATTTGTAGTTGACCTCAAGTACTGCTAAGCAAAATCTTAGGTAGTAGAAATTATATGTGAACAGTAAGATTTATTTATATTTTGGTTTATTTTCTTTTTCAAGAAAAGTTTGGCTAGAACAGAATTCATATTAGAGAGTGCTAAGAACAAAGAAATACTTAAAGCCAACTGCATTTCTAATTCTGGATAAAATGTCACAATTGAAATCAAAGTAAGTCCTTGCTAAAGATACATTCTTTTATTTGGGAAGACAAAGGCGTAAAATATTCTCAAGGTCTTCTCTTTTGGGTGATTGAGGGAATGCAGTGAGATCCTAGCATCACTTCAACATGCTAAAGAGCATGTGCTATCTGCTTTGATTTTGTTTCTTTTAAGAAAGCTGTAAGATGAGGCAGGTTGGAGACACTGCTGTAAGTGGTGTTTATAGGCAAGAGTTTGTATCATAGCATCACGATGCCATATATTTGTGTGATGCTTGTAACTGTGTGTGAAAGTAAAAGGCTTGCACATATAACAATATTCTGCCAAGCATTAAATGACCTCCTACACTAAAATGGCCATCATGGAACAAATTAGCAGCGTAATTTCTGAAGTTAGCAGTCCCGTCCATCCTAACCAGATAACATGGTGAGCCAGCAAGACTCCAGTAGTTACTGTTCAAAAGATCACAGACTGGTAATTTGGCTTTCCATTTTTTGGCCTATTTTTAAAATGATAGTACCCAAATGTTTTGTTAGTTATTTGTCTGCTCTCACAAATGCAGAATTTGGAGTCAAACTACAGGACCACTAGCAAAATTTAACTGATTTTTGTAGATCAGACCATATTAACATTTACTTTCTTGTTATAGTTCATTTAAGAATTCAGAAAAAAAAAAATTCAAATGTGTATGTGCAATTATTCCTTACGGAGCTCTCATATAAACCTTTTGGTCTCAGTCACTAGCAGCTTAATGATGAATGACTACAGATTTCAGAAACATTTTGGAAAAGTCTTGAGCAAGAAATTTGTGGTGACCTATAAGCAGTGCTCTGACTACAAATGAGCAGAATTGGTTCTTTTAAAAAAGTACTCATAATTTGGTCAAATTTTTTTTGTCATGTTATACACACCAAAGAATGTAAAAAAACTCCAGACAGAAAAACTTCTTTTTCCTTTGTTGTTTTTTTTTTTTTTTTTTAAATAATCAAATAGAGATAACCTAGATAAACTCAACTCATTGTTAGACTGATTGACGTCTTCACTTCATAGTAAGGCAACTGTGAATTCAGAGTTGCTAAGGTGTGACGCCCATCTACAAGAAGGGCCGGAAGGAGGATCCGGGGAACTACAGGCCTGTCAGCCTGACCTTGGTACCGGGGAAGGTGATGGAACAAATCATCCTGAGTGAGATCACAAGGCATGTGAAGGACAATCAGGGCATCAGGACTAGCTAGCATGGGTTCTTGAAAGGCAAGTTCTGCCTTTCAGGGGAGGTTCAGGCTCGACATTAGAAAGAACTTCTTCACTGTTAGAGTCGTTAAGCATTGGAATGGGCTCCCCAGGGAGGTGGTGGAGTCACCATTCCTGGAGGTGTTCAAAAAATGTTTAGATGTGGCGCTTCAAGACATGGTTTAGTGGGCATGGTGGCATCAGGTATATGGTTGGACTTGATGATCTTTGAGGTCTCTTCCAACCATAATGATTCTATGATTCTATGGTTCTATAAGGTACAAATTCAACTATAGCAATCCTTTCAAAAATCAAGGGAAAATGCATAAACTAAATTCTTTCTTTCCAAAAGACACATTGGTATTTGTGACAAGCATGCTAGATCTTGTAGTTTATTGTAGTCTGGGTTCATGGACCTTGCATGTTGGTGATGGAATGATAGGAATAAAAACCTTAATGAAGTCTTGTCCTTTAGACTCAAGACTGAAGCATGTAACATCTGGACTATTTCCAGCTCTGTTATTGTTAAGTCACATGTTTTTATACTTCGATTTCCCTTTTATAGAATGGGTGGGACAGTACTTCCTTTCTCCTACAGATCTGCCAGGGTATGTTTTTTCAGGAGGAAGGAGAGTTGACAACTGTGTGAATGTACTGTGAGTAACATGCTGACATCCCAGTCTAGTACAGGGACAGCAAGCACTACTTAAACATGAAATGATTACCGACAGTGCTGGATTGTGAACTGTTTGGCAATACAATTTGTGGTTGGGATCTGCAAACAGAAATTTATTAGTAGAGGTTACCACTGTGTGTGGCAGCGTTATTCAGCAAAAGCGTGCTGTTTGTGAACTGCTGATTAAAGTTTGTGCAGGGAGTTAAAATTATATCGTTTCCAGAGAACGAGTTTGAGATCTCCTGTGAGAGAAGGTGAGAATGGAGACTGTGCAAGAAAAGAAGGTAGGCACCTCTTCACCGCTTTTCTAGACAGTAACTAACAGGGCAGCCTGACCAGTCCTGGCAGAGAATACTTTGAGCACAAAGTATGCAATGGTAATATAGTTTTAGACAAAAATATACTATGTTATAATCACATCTTTTGGGGTGCTACAGCTTTCTCACTTCAGTATTCCTTTCATTTAAACGTTTATCAAAGTACTCAAAGTCAACAGATTTCCAGCAGGTGGAGAATATAAATATCTTCAGGGTGATTGCATATTATTATCATTGTAATGAATGGCACATTTGTCATTGACTTCTATGGGCATTTTTTATAAATAAAATCAATGCAATTTTCATTTGAACTTATTCCAATCAGTATGAATATAAGTAAGAATGAAAAAAGAGCGATAAACAAAATTTGCTTTTAGGTCTCTCTCATTTTGAAATTTAGGAAGCTCTAGAGAAAGTATGAATAAAGAGAGAGTCTTGAGAGCAGAGGAAATTTAGGTGCTATTTTGGGTATGCAATCTTATTTGTTCTTCAGTTTATGTTAGATGAACTGCCCCAACAAAAATCGTATCTTTAAACAAACATACTGTATGCATACATCTCTGCTTTGGCTGCTATAATACTTCATATACTCTCTTTCAATGTTCTCTGCATGACTTTGGCCCCACAACTACAATATCATCTGGCTGACTAGTTATCAGAGCCTAGGAAAAAGAAGGGCAGAAGATGAGAGCACTGTTTCGCAAAAGTTTCTCTTCCTGGAACAGAATCTACAGGAAATATTTTCTTTCCCTCCTTACAGGGAGTGAGCAGAGGAACATCCAGGTTGCAGTGCTGGTGAGAATGAAGAGAAACAGCCTAGAGAACTGTGCATGGAGCTTGGCAAACACCACTGCAGAATGACAAGAGAAATACTAGACAGAGGACGTTTTTGGAAGATATTAGATATCTGGTGGGTACTAACATACATGAAAGACAGAAGTTGATATCATAAATCTGCTCTTACTTAAGCATATCATTCCTTGATTTCGGATATGTGACAAACAACAG